TGTCCGTATCCACAGTTAGTTCTTACATATAAGACTGTCTCAAATACAATCTTAAGATATCACGAACCAATCAGAGAGAGAGAGTTAAGATGGTATTACTCAAGATGGTATTAAAATAAGAACCGACTATGAATATCGGCTTTCGAACGATTCTGCATAAATCTTAAGATCAACGTATAAACGTGGTGAACTCCTAATCTCGAAACCTGGTGCACCCTAAGTGATGACAACGATGACAACGATGACAACGATGACAACACGCTTGCGATACTTCACAAGACGTGCATTCATGTACATACAACGCGCGCGATCGCGTGTTGTATGTGTATGTTGTATACTTGAATGCGTACGTGTGCGTATGTGCGTGTATGTGTATATTTGTATACGTATGTACGCGTTTACAGCAGAAACGCTCGCTCGGTCACTCGTATGGGGAAGAGTGCGAGAGACGGCGAGTGAATAAATGAGTCGGATGCGGGAGAGGGGAGGAATGGGGGGAGGGGCGCGTGCGAGGAAGAGAGAAAGTGAGAGTGAGCGCGGCGAGAGGGGGAGGGACTGGGCAGAAAGAGAGAAAGAGGCATATCGCGCGGCTTTCGACGCTGAGAGGTAGAATAACGTCAGTGCGAGAGATATGTATACGAAGGTGGTGTAAAGGGGCGCGAAGGGGGATAGGCGAAAGAAAGACGCACGCACATCGGTGGAGGAAGACGAAACGTGCGAGGCAGCGGGATAAGAACAGGGTTCGCGGGAAAGAGACGACGATGACGGCGAGAGCGAGAGGGGGCGAAAGGAGGATGAGAGAGAGAGAGAGAGAGAGGAGGAAGAACGAGACGGAGACGGAACGCGGTGTACGTAACGAGAGGGAGCGAGTCGCGGCTGCGTCATGTTCTCGACAAACTGGGTCAGTAGGTCTCCCCACCGCGCTCCGCGTCGCGCACATCCATCGCTCGTACACACGTATGCGCGTACACACATACGTACACACATACAGAGACCCCAGAGACCGTGTGAGGCGCTCCGCGCTGGTGCTTGTCTCTCGGGGAGTGCCAACGGCGTTGCTGTTGACCCAGCCGCGCGGCCTGTACGTGTCTCGTGCCCGCGAACGCTTACCCGCGGCCGCGCTTCTACCTGACGATATATTCCTGCCGACGAGTGCCGGTTCACCCGTCTGCACTTTGAAAGCAAAAGTCGCTTCTCTCCGCGAACGGTTCGCACTTGGCGCGCGCGCCGCGCTCGTTCCTCCTTCGTAGTCTCTCTGTTTCTCGCGAGCAGATCCCCTGCGTCTTGTCTCGAGACAAGAGGCGCGAAGAGGCGGAAAGAAAAAATAAAAAAATAAAAAAACGACTCAGTCCTACTCTCGATACGTTCACGGAATGTGTCTTACGTCACTCGCAGGACCGGTCGTTTTCTCAGTCTTTTGCCGGCGGGATACTGTGAGGTACCTCTTTTTCTTTTTCTTCTTCTTTTTTTTTTCTCGTTCGCATACACGTATAGCGCCCGATAGTTTAACACTATTATACGATTTTCAAAAAAATCATCTGCGCTACTAAAAAATTGGATCCCGAAGAGCCGGAGGTCGGATACGAGACGCGTGTTCGTCGCGCGTAACGAAATTTTGAGGAGAGGAGGTGAGGACAAGGCGAGGTGCGGCGAGGCGAGGCGACGCTCGCGGAGCGGACAATATTTCTCCGGCCGACATAGACCTGGTTCCGTAAGTAGGTCATCCCCCGCCACAGATCGCGCAACCTCCTTCTCGGCGTCCCCTCTGGTCCCCTCCACCGATACCTTCGACCGCGGCGCGGCGCGGCGCGGTAATACCGTCCGCTTCGCCTCGCCTCCTCTCTGCCGCGCGCGACCGCGTGCTTACTCGCCCTCCCCCTCTCTCTCTTTCTCGCTCCTGTCCCCGCGCCCGCGCCAGAGACCTCTCAGGCGGCACCTCCACACCGCGTCCGCGTCGGATACCTACCTGGTCGCCGCGGCGCGCGGTGGCATGCGCTGCTGAATCACTTTCACTTATGCCGTGCGCTGTGTTGGTTATGCTCCGCGCGGCGCGGCGCGTCTCGCTCGCTCCACTCGCGTCGTTAACTCTCTCTCTCGTTTCCTCCTTCTCGTCGCCTCTCGGCGTCTCGCTGCCCGTCGGTAAAGGGACACGCGCGCCTTCTCTCCTCTATACCCACCGAAACGCTGAAGGAGCCTGACAGTAGTGCGCGCCTCGGCACCGCTCTCCGTGGCACAGTTTCGTTCAATTTTCCGACCGTCCGTATCAGTCAGTGGCGTGTGCTTGTCCGTTGTCATCATCATCATCACCATCATCATCATCATTATCATCTTTGTCCTCCTTCTGCTAAACAACGTCGTTCTCCTCCTCATCACGCGTCAATGAACGTCGCTATATAGTTTTCGGAAGTGCGCTCGCTGACAATAAACGTGTAAACGTGTAAACGTGTAAACGTGCAATCGGCCGCGCGTATCGTGAGATGAGAGTGACGATTGTGTCGTAAGAATACTGATAGCAGCGGAGGAGCAGCAATCCGACATACCTGGACGACGCGCCACAAGGAAACGACGTAGGCACGTCGTGGGTCGTCTTCACCGTCCTCACCGTCCTCACCGTCCTCACCGTCCTCATCGTCGTCGTTGACGACGTTGTTACCACCGCGCGCTCGCGGCAATACGTCACGTATGCCGTGTGTGTCTCGCAAAGGCGGCCTCCCCGGCGGTCTCTACCTACCTACTCCATGTGCCGACGGTAGGGCAGCGGAGGGGAGGGGGCGGGCCCTTCGGGAAAGCAACGAGCCGAGAGGACAACTAGTCGTACGCAGATAGGCGAGCTGTCAAGTCACTCTGGTTGGTTCCGAGTCGACTAGAGAGTCGACTATTCTCGTTGATCACTCGCTCGCTCGATCGCTCATTCGTTCGTTCGTTCATTCGTTCGCTCGCCGGTACTACATTAGTCACCGAATTACAGTGCGTGTGTTCCGCGCCTTCCTCCGTTCGCGATAATACGATCGCGATTACGTCGCACGTAGAGCGTGGTAGACCCGTCGTGTTTGTTGACAGTCGTCGGCAGTTTGTATACCTCCTCGTGTGATCGCTGCCGCATGTGTGTCCGTCTATCTGCCTTCATCCGTGGTGCACGTTGGACTTAGTGTACACGGATAGACGTATTCATCGGCGTACAACGTGAATCTCATCATTCGCATCGTGCTCGGCGATAAGTTGGATTACAGTGCGGATACGAGAGGAAGAAACGACGACGACGGCTTGAAAGGGAGGCACCTTTGGGGTGTTTGCCTTCGCTCGACTGGATCCGTTTCGACAGTGGCGAATGTTCACGCGGATACATTCGACGATTGTTATCATGCCTCGGACGTAGTCCCGTCGATTTCGACTGACAACTTTGTGTATCCCGCGTATATACGTTTGTTGGTGCGCGATGGTTTTACTCCGTAAACGTGTGTAATCCGTGCGTGGATGTGTGTGTGTGCGTGCGTGCGTGCGTGTGAGAGAGAGAGAGAGAGAAAGTGTGTGTGTTTGTGTGTGTTTGTGTGTGTGTGTGAGAGAGAGAGAGTGTGTAAATGGTGATCGATATTCTTATTCGTGCCACAGGGAACCAAAGTCGAATGTGTGTTCCATCTTTCCGCGTACACCCGCTATACAACTCTGTTCCTCTTTACTACGAATTGTGCCGGCATTTTCTTTGTTAACGTCTACGTCATCGTTACCGTCGTCGAGGACGACGTCAGCGGGTGCTCCAGGTTACTTTTTGCGTTAGACAACCGGTGCGTCGTTGTTCTCTCGCGATCGCCAATCACGGATCGGTAGCGATGTCCCGCGAACATGACGAACTAAACGGAACAAATAGACACGAATATATCCAGTTATACCCTCAGATATAAATTATTAACATCTTGAAGAAGTCAGCTTGATCAGCGTACACGACGAATACGTACTCGCTCGCAACAGAGTGCCCAGAAATTCGATAAAAAGATCTTTCAGGAAGAGAGAGAAGCGTTGAAAAAAGAAATATATACATATATTTATATAT